AAAAAAAAAAAAAAAAAAAAAAATCTCATATATCCTTGAGGGGAAAGAATTGTCTGAATCCTGATTGAGTTCCCAGAGCTTAGCACAGTTCCTGGGGGTTAGTAGGTGCTAAATACAGTTTTGATGAATTGTCATTTTACCTGCTTTCCATCCCTAATTATATTAAATACTAAAAACTAAGAAGTTACAATATTTCATTTTGTGTAAGCACATCTCCATCATAAAGCGTTAGATGCTTTCCAAGAATGTGACTCATTACTCAGGGAGTACTTGGAAGATGAGAACCTCTTGTGAATACCGAAGCCTGTTAACTCACACACCTGACGTGGCCTGAAGTTCTAAGTCATTATAGATAGGACTGGCTCACGGTGTGGTACATCATGACTTGGAATGAGATAGAAAAGCAACAAAATGGGGTGGATCTGAGTGAACAAAAAGCCAGATCATTGTCCTATACCAGCAATTCTGGGTCTTTTTAACCATGGGAAAAAAGCCTGAATTTGTGTGTGGACTTTATATTAAAAAGAAATTAACTTTGTATTAATGCACATGGTAATGCCATTTAATTAAAAAGCTGTGGTAGATGTAAAATTCCTCTAACAGTGCTTCCTTCTTGTTACAAGGGTCTTGTACATACTTTAGTAGGAGAGACTTAATTCCATGAATTTGTACTGCAAGAACAATTTATATAGGAAGATAATAGTTTCTCTTAAAAAATAACTTTGGAGAAGCCAAGTTCAAAGTAATAAAGAAAATTATTTCCCTAACAATGTGACTGCCATCCTACCAGTTGGTAATCTGGAAAATATTCTGTTCTTATGTTTTAAGACTCAAATTAATTTATTTCTTACCTCGATATACTTTTCTTAATGACTTGGGGTAGGCCAGGTGTGGTGGCTCACGCCTGTAATCTCAGCACTTTGGGAGGCTGAGGCGGGTGGATCACTTGAAGTCAAGAGTTCGAGACCAGCCAGGCTAACATGGTGAAACCCCATCTCCTAAAAAAATAAATAAATAAAAATACAAAAATTAGCCGGGAGTGGTAGCGCATGCCTGTAATCCTGGCTACTCTGGAGGCTGAGGCATGAGAAGCACTTGAACCCAGGAGGTAGAGGTTGCAGTGAGCCGAGATCATGCCATGGCACTCCAGCCTGGGCTACAGAGCAAGACCCTGTCTCAAAAAATAAATAATTAATTAATCAATTAATTAAAATGAAAATGAAAATTACTTTGGGACAGAAGGTAGTGATAATGATTGTCTTGATTACAAGTTGTTAGCTCATGTAATCTTCATAACCAATTTGTGAAGTGTACTTTTATGATGTCTGTTTTACAGCTGAGGAAACTAGGCTCAGAATAGTTAGATAACTTGTCCAAGGTTACATAGCTTATAAGTGGCAGAACGGGGATTCCAATCTAGGCAGTCTGGCTATCCACCCTGCTGATCGCTGAGTTACGCTGCTTTTCTTAGCCTCCCCACCTTTACCTCCTGTAGTTGGTAGCCAGCTAGACCAGGGATACCTGCTTTCACCTGGAAAATACCACTGGGCTTGAGGAAATTGGCTGCCCAGGGCCTAGGACTGTTCCAGCCACACTTTCTTTGCATGTGTTTGAACCCAGCAGGCATATTTCCCTCTCAGATCTCAGATCTTTTGTATGTGATGTTTCCCTTCCTGGAGCATTGTTTACCCACAGTTCATCTCGTCATTCAAAGTCTCTGCTCATATCAGCTCCCCGGGGAGGGGGGGGGGGGGGAGGTCTTCTTTGGCTTCCCCAGCACCCCCTTCCCTCTGTATCCCTTTACCCTGCTTTATCATAGCACTTATCACTACCTGACAATGTATAGTTATTCTTTGGTCCCGTCACTAGAATAGAAGCTACCTGAGGACAGGGACTTTGTGTCTTTTTTTTTTAGTCACTATTTCTGTTGAATCAAAGATGCACATTTTCCCACAATTTATTAATAGCAGTTAGAACATCTGGATGTGTCTTATAATCACCAGTGTGTTCTGGTTTAGTTGGTAGTATTTTTTTTTTCTTTCTTGTACCTACAGTAAGTGGTGAGTCTTTAAAATCATGGTGTCTTGGAATTGATGAAAATACCATGTATCCCCAGGGCCTGAACTCTATGTGGCACGTAGTTGGCGCTCAGTAATTACTTGTTAAAGGAAGGCATTGAGTGTTGTGTGCCAGAAACTATTGAAACTTTTTTTTTTTTTTTTGAAGTCTCTGTCACCCATACTGGAGTGAAATGGCACGATCTTGGCTCACTGTAACCTCCACCACCCAGGTTCAACTGATTCTCGTGCCTCAGCCTCCTAAGTAGCTGGGATTACAGGTGAGCACCACCATGCTCTGCTAATTTTTTTATTTTTAGTAGCAATTTATATCATTCTAGTAGACTCTTAGAAAGTAGATGGGGAGGGTGGGGAATGTAAGACAGACCAGTTAGAAGACACTCGAAATAATCTGAGGGAAGACCAGAATGGGAACTATGGCTGAAGGATGGTGAGACCAGCAGGGCTCCGCGGCCTGCTGAGCAGAGATGTCTGGCCTGAGCCAAGCCAGTAGGTGGCCCCCTTCACTAAAGAAGGGAATCCAAGAAGACTAGGTTTGGGGAGTGGGAGGGTTTGGTTTTGAACATACAAATTTCAAGTGCAGATGAAAGCAGGAATCAGGTCCCAAAGGCTGCAGCAAGGGTTTTATCCTAAGGTTTCTCCTTCTAAGAACTGTAGGAGCTATGGAAAGAAATGACTGGATTTATTTTATCTGGTTTCAGCATGAGCCAGCATGGTGATCCAGGCCCGCGATGATGGTGATCGAAGGGGCAGGTGGCCCTAAGTATGGAGAACAAGTGAGTCGATTGAAAAGTTGTGTAGATCAGGCCTCAGGGAGAGATTGACTACGAACAGGATGGGCAGTGAGAGAAAGCTGACAATGATACTTTGCTTTCCAGCTTGAGCAACTGAATGGATATTGATGCCCGTCTCAATTAAACTCTGTTGAACCCAGCTGACAGTGAGCAGAGGAAGGACATTTAAATGGAGAATCATAGTAACGCTAATACTTTCTTTTATTCTTTCTTTCTTTCTTTTCTTTTTTTTTTTTTTTTTTTTTTTTTTGAGACAGAGTCTTGCTCTGTTTCCCAGGCTGGAGTGCAGTGGTGCAGTCTTGCTCACTGCAACCTCCACTTCCCTAATTCAAATGATTCTCCTGCCTCAGTCACCCACATGTGCCACCATGCCTGGCTAATTTTTTTTTTTTTTTTTTTTTTGGTGCAGAAAGGGTTTTGCCATGTTGGCCAGGCTGGTCTTGGACTCCTGGCCTCAAGTGATCTGCCCGCCTCAGCCTCCCACAGTGGTGGGACTGTAGGCTTGAGCCACTGTGCCCAGCATATGAGAACTGATACTTTCATAGCTCTTCCTATGTATCAGAAGACTTATTTTAGTTATCACCACAATCCTATGAGATTACTATTATCACCATCATCTTCCAGATGAGGAAACCGAAGCAAAGAGTAGTAACTCACCGAGGTCACACAGCTAACAAGTGGCGGAGCTAAAATTTGAACCCAGGCAACCTGGTAGAGTCTGTGTTGTCACTGCCTCTCTGTGCTGATATTTCTCTAAATTAGCTCAGTTTGGACACAGTGAACCTGAGAGATCCGTGGGGCAGCCACGTAGAGGTGTCCAGCAGGCAGGAAGATACATGGTTCTGAAGCTCACATGGGAAGTGGGGACTGGAAATAAAGACTGTGGAGTTTGCATACAGGTGGCCATTGAAGCCACAGGAAAGGACAGGACCCTTAAGGAGAGGGTGGGAAATAATCGGAGGAAAGAAACAAGGGAGCCCTGGAAGGCAAACAAGCATTCCACTTGTGGGAAGGACATAGTCCCTTCTGCAAATGAATATGCTGCACCTGGCTTGTAGATCTTCAGTCAACAGACAGTCCATCCCCCTGAATTTGTTTGGCTCTGGGTACCCTGACAAAAATGGAGTTCCTGGACCCACAACCCGAAGGACCTGCCTCAGTGGTGGTGATCCTCCGCACTTTCTTCTACCATGAGAGTCCACTGTGGGCCTGTTGGCTTCTCTGGGCATCTGTTTTTTGCCCCTCCCTACAACTGAAGAGCCTCCAGCTCCTCTGTCTACCGCCCGTCGACTTTGTCAGCTCAGGTCCCCTCCCTGTTTCTAGGACCACAGTAACATTTCACCTGGAGCTTCTTCAGGTCCCTCCTGAACTTATTTTCAGCCCTTTATCCAAACATTTCTTGTATCTCCTGCTAGATTCTAAATTTCTGGAGGGCAAGAAGAACCTATTACGTTGACTTTCCCTCCCTCAACCCCTGCTCCCCTGTGTGGGTTAAATGGCCTGACGCCATTGTCCCATGGGACTTCGCATGCAGTCCACCTGAATAGGAGCTGCATCTTGTATCTCTGTACCTAGCACAGGAGCCAGGGAGTCCATCAGTCAGTCAGTCATCTTAGCAAATAATTCCAGTTGTCTACTAGATTTCTAGAAACATGACTGGGGACTGTCGATGCCTTTGACAGTTGATTTGAGCAGCAGGACCTTTCACAACAGCCTCCTGTTTTTGTGGGTGGGGAATAGGCAAGGTTTGGGAAGCGGGCATTCGCTGCTCTTTCTTGTCATTCTCTTCATAGCCCCCAAGCTACTGTGGTCTATTGTTTTGATAGTTGCTTTCCCGAAATGTTAACAGGATGGAGAGTGAAGGAGGAGTCTGTGATACCTCAGCCATGCGCCAGTGTGCCGATTCCCATTCTGCATGGATTTGACTTCCAAGACTCCAGTCAATCCTCAGCGCTCCAGGTAACTGCTGATCACCAGCAGAGGGAGCCCTAGGACCACAGGGCCTCTTTCCTTACCGATGGTAAAGCCCTTCACTGTGGCTTCAAAACTGTGGAAGACCCTGGATTTGTGGATCACTTGCCTTTAGAATAGAATCAAGAAATAACGCTGCAGAAGAATCTCCACATGGTAAGGATTGGGAGTGTTGAGAGGGGCTTCTGGGGTGCACGTAATGTTCTTTCATCCGATGTTGGTTATAGGAGTGTGTGCTGTAATGTAGTATATGTACATTTTTTTGTGTGTATAACTAAACTTCAATTAAAAGTTTTTAAAACTTAAAATAAACATCTCTATGTATACCACAAAATAGGTGTCAGGTTAGGGTGAGCTGTTCTTTTCCCTACAATTCTTAACCTTATCTGAGTCACAAGACAGCCCTTCCTCCCTTCCTCTGTGAAAGCCACAAACGACTGGTTAAGGACTTCTGCAGCAGCCGCTGAATAGAGAAAGTGAGCACAGGACATGAACAGATGGTTCACAGCAAAAGAGATACAAATAGCCCTTAAACGTATGAAAAGGTGCTCAGTCTCAATCTTCAAAGAGAAGTGCTTATTGAAAGTATGCGGAGATACCATTTTTAACCTGTCAGATTGGCAGAAATCCCAAAGCTTGACAGCATGCCCTGTGGATGGGGCTGGAGGTGGGGGAGTCGGGAGAATAAATAGCAGGCCCTTTACTACATTACCAGTGGGATTGTGAAATTGACAGCCCTGTTGATTTGGGCAATATCTACCGAAATTACAAGTCTAAGAATCTACCCTGTAGATGACATTTGTACATATATGTAATAATTTAATCTCCAAGTTGTCTTCTTGCTCTGTAAAAGGAAGATTTTGGAAGTTAAGAAAACTTTTTCTGCCTCAACGAAGTCACATTTTAACACTAATGTCTCACGCTGTGGACTCAAGAAAATCTAATTTAAAGCAGAGCCAGGCAACGGCTTCCATTGACTGACTGGCTGGAGGGAGCTGCAGGCTAACTAGGAATTAGGAATTAGCCACAACAGAAGTGCATTGGTTTTATCTCAAGAAATATCCTCCTTTACACCTGTTGTGGCAGATGTGCCCACTGCTTGGGTGGCAGGACACTTTGATTGTCTCACCAAGACTGTGTGGAAAGGGGTGGGGTACTTCTCCAAAGGGAAAAGTGGGCTGCTGTCACCCATAAAAGGGGTGGAGGGAAAGGGCAGGCAGAAACAGTCAATGTCTTCCATAACTTCAGGTCACGTCTGCCTGCTGCTGATACCGCATTCATATCTGCAGCCTGTGTGTCTCCTCGACACCACGCCTCTGTGTCCACTGTCCTCCTAGTCAGTCGCCTACGTGGATGTCCCTCTGACACCTGGTGAAACATGATGTGTTTCTAATTGAGCAGGTTATCTTTCCCTCTAAGCCTGGTCTCCTGGCCTTTCCCCAGTGCCTTCCAATTTAATTGAATCAAATCAAATGTAATTCACCTCCTCCCATCCGTCTGGCTTCTGGGTTAATACCCCCCCAAACTTTGGAAATATTTTAATGTGTTAATATATTATTTTTTTAATAAAAAGTAGTTTTAACAAAAGAAAAATATACCTCTGTAGAAAATTTAGAAAATATAAGGACTCAGGCACCTTATCTTTTTTATCCCCTGGTTAGCCCTGGGAGGCAGACAGTGTTATTTATCCCCATTTTACAGATGAGGAAACTGAGGCTCAGAGAGGAACGTGGCTTGCTGCTTCCACACAGGTCAGAAGGATCTATGCCGGATTTGAGCCCAGGTCTTTCTGGTTGCGAGCTGGAGGCGGTCTTGTCTTTGGGATACTCAGTTGAAGGGCTTGGCCTTTGCCTCAGAAGGACTCGACCTGGCCCCCTCTTGAGGATGTCCTCTGGCAGCATTTGGTCATGGTGTTGCAGAGTGCCTAGGAGCCACACTGACTCTGAGAAGCCCTGCCTCACACACCCACCCCTCTGTGTGGCCTTGGACACACTGCCCAAGCCTCTGTGCCCAGTTTACTCCTCGGAAAAATGGGGATGATGATAGTAATCATAGGCTTCCCTTAGAGAACTAGGAGAGAATGGAATGACCAATGTGGTAGAACACTGCCTGGCTCATAGCATCTGATAATGGCTTAGATATTTGTCCCCTCCAAATCTCAGGTCAAAATGTGACCCCCATTGTTGGAGGTGGGGCCTGATGGGAGATGTTTGGGTCTTGGGGGTGGATCCCTCAGGAATGGTGTGGTGCCCTCCCATGGTAATGGGTTCACCCCAGGCCCAGTTGTTAGAAAGAGTCTGGTACCTCCCACCTCCTCTCTCTTGCTTCCCTCTCTGGCTGTGTTATCTGCGCAGGCCAGCTACGCTTCGCATCCCGCCATGAGTGGAAGCAGCCTGAGAACCTCACTAGAAGCCAGGCAGATGCTGGTGCCATGCAGAACTGTGGTCCAAGCAAACTTCTTTTCTGTCTACATTACCCAGTTTCAGATATTCCTTTATAGCATCACAGAACAGACTAATACAGCATCCAACAACATTAGCCACTGCTACTATTATCATTAGTATTTTAAGTGTGTGCATTTTAACTGCTGGTACACTGTGTGAGCTGGCTTGGATGTCTATCCGCTCCAAATCTCATGTGGGACTGTAATCTCCAGTGTTGGAGGTGGGGCCTGGTGGGAGGCGTTTGGATCATGGCGGCATATTCCTCACGCTTGGCTGGGCGCCATCCCCGTGGTGATGAGTGAACTAACGGGACATCTGGTTGTTTAAAGGTGTGCGGCACCTCCCCCCTCTCTTGTTCCTGCTCTTGCCATGTGACACACGGGCTCCCCTTTGCCTTCCACCATGGCTGTAAATTCCCTATGGCCTCACCAGAAGCAGATGCTAGCACCCCACTTCCTGTACAGCTTGCAGAACCAAGAACAAATTAAACCTATTTTCTTTACGAAGACACAGACTCAGGCATTTATTTATATCAGTGCATGAACAGCCTCATACACTGGGCATACGTGTTATATCCTGCTTTCCTTCAATTTACTATTATGAGCATTTTTATGTCACAATATATTCCTCAAAACATTATTTGAATGACTGTATAATAGTCCATCATTTAAATATATTCATAACTTATTCTGTAGTTAACCATTCACCTGTTTCTGGACAATTAGGGGTGTGTGTGGGTGTTTGTTGTAATAAAAAACTCTAAACCAAAAATCCTTGTCTGATTATTTTCTTAGAGTAGAATTTTACACCTGGAACTCCTGGGTGAGAAGGTATAAACAGTTTAAAGCCTCCAGCAACACACTGATAATTGCTTCAAAGGAAAGCTCTCAACCGTTTACTCTCAGCAGTGTGTATGTATATTAGGGCTGTCCTCACCACACCCTTTCAGGCAGCAAGGCGAGCTTTTTTAAAGTTCACCTTTGTTGCTATTGATTTACAAGGCAGGTTTTACTACATGTCCCTGGGATGGTGGAGGTAGGTCCCATGCCCAAGGTGCTTCCAGCTATGCTGCCTGTTACAGTGTTCTTAAATTAGCTAACAGTCCCATAAGCCCTGGGTGGACATATTTACCTGTTTCCTGCCTGGTCTGTTTTCCTGCAGGTAGAAATATAATTTCAGTGCTGGAAATTTTCTTTTTTTTTTTTTGAGATGGAGTCTTGCTGTGTTGCCCAGGCTGCAGTGCAGTGGCACCATCTTGGCTCACTACAACCTCCATCTCCTGGGTTCAAGCAAGTCTCCTGCCTCAGCCCCCCGAGTAGCTGGGATTACAGGCTCACACCACCATGTCCAGCTAATCTTTTTTGTACTTTTTGTAGAGACAGGGTTTCACCATGTTGGCCAGGCTGATATCAAACTCCTGACCTCAAGTAATCCATCCGCCTCGGCCTCCCAAAGTGTTGGGATTACAGGTGTGAGCCACCGTGCCTGGCCAATACGTTGGTTTTTCTGTTTCTCTGTTGCCCCTGCTTTAAGGTGTTTAGCATGTGCCCTCCCTCCCTGGTGACGGCATAGTCCCAAAGCCCAGTAATAGATTTTAAAGAAATCTGACTCAGGTAAGGTACAAGCTTAGCTGGACTGGCCCATTATCTGAAATCTGTGTGTGACCTTCCCAACTGATACTGCCAATACTTGTGTCTGTTTCAACTTCAGATTCCCGTTCAGTATACTCACCCTTTAAGTTACCCTACTACTAGTATCCTGACCTCCCAGAAAGAGGGCTAGAGTTTTATTTTCTTAAAGTAAAATCAGTATTCCCCAGTGCTCTGTATTTTACAAAATGCATTCACACATGACTACTTTGATCCTCAGAATGATTCTGGGAGTTACATAAGTTTATCTCCATTTTGCAGATGAGGCCCAGAGAGGCGAAGCCATTTGAGCTCATGAGTGACAGATCTCAAGCCCTGCTCTTTCTAAAGCGTGCTGCCTTCAGAAAAGAGCCAGAAGGATGAAAATTACTTTAGAAAGATGAATACCAGCTTTGAAGGAATAAAAGCTGACGAGGAATTGAAGGAGTTGAGGCACAAGCTTGAATAGGGTTGCGTGTTTGGCCCTTGATTGTAAAAGCCCATTGTTGCACCTGTTCCTGTTACTTGGGGAGTTGCAGCAGAAGGAACAGCGGCCTGAGACTCTAGAGAGCTGGGGAACACGTTCCCTCTCATCCCTCCAGGGCCACCACTTCTTGTGGGCCCTTGGGCAAGTCACTGTACTTTCTGAGTCTCAGTTTCCCCATTTGCAGAATGGAAATAACTATCCCAGTCTACCAACTTAGAAGAATTGCTTTGAGGATCTGATAAGGTGGTGTAGATGCTGCTGCCTTGGGGGCTTTAAAGTCTGGAGCTCAAGCGACCCCTTAAGTTGGGCTTACTTAGTAACTCCAGGGTTGGGCAGAACAGGACTCCAATGAGGGTTCTTTTCTTTTTCCCTTTTTTTTCTTTCCCTATCTCTTAACTTTTATCTTTATTATTTTACAATGCCCTTGTAAGATGAAACAAGTGTTGCTGAATTTTTTTTTTCTTTTTTAACCTTTATTTTAGGATTGGGGTATATGTGCAGGTTTGTTACATAGATATATTGTGGGCTGCTGAGGTTTGGAGTACGAATGAATTAGTCATCCCAGTGGTGAGCACAGTCCCCGATAAGTAGTATTTTTCAGCCCTTACTTCCGTCCCTCTCCATTCTTGTATTCCCCAGTGTCTGCTGTTCCCGTTTTTATGACCATGTGTACTCAATGTTTAGCTCCCACTTAGAAGTAACAACATGCCCAGCACTTTGGGGGGCCAAGGTGGGTGGATCACGAGGTCAAGAGATCGAGACCATCCTGACTAAGACAGTGAAACCCTGTCTCTACTAAGAACACAAAAAATTAGCCAGGCGTGGTGGTGGGCACCTGTAGTCCCAGCTACTTGGAAGACTGAGGCAGGAGAATCACTTGAACCGGGGAGGTGGAGGTTGCAGTGAGCTGAGATTGCGCTACTGCACTCCAGCCTGGGCAACAGAGCAAGACTCCGTCTCAAAATAACAACAACAACAACAACAAAAAAAAACGTGATGCATGATTTTGTTTTCTGTTTCTATCTTAATCCACTTAGGATAATGGCCTCCAGCTGCATCCACGTTGCTACAAAAGACACGATTTCATTCTTTTATATGGCTGCCTAATATTCCATGGTGTATATGTACCATATTGTCTTTATCCAATCCACTGTTGATCCACACCTGGGTTGATTCCATGTCTATGTTATTGTGAGTAGCACTGCAATGAACATATGGGTGCATGTGTCTTTGTGGTAGAATGATTTCTTTTCCTTTGAGTATAATATATCCAGTATTGGGATGGTGCTGAAATACTTAAAGTAGAAATGAAAATTGTCACGTGCTCCACTATGCCCTTCCATTCTACTCTGCAGAGAGACAGCCACTGTTTGTGGTTTAGTACACCTGGTTCCAGGCTTTACATAAACTAAACCCATGCATATTTCTCTGTGTATACTTTTTCAGTACATGTACACGTGCACTTGTTCATACAGTTTGTTCTTCAAATTATAAAATTCCCTGGCCGGGCGCGTGGCTCAAAGCCTGTAATCCCA